GGGCTCCAAGAGAAAGGGCCTTTAATGGGCCCACAAATAGCCAACAAGTTCAAGGGCCTAAAAGTGCGAGGGGTCAACCACTCTAGAAATCTTGTGTCCCCTTAGCGCTCAAAATTGGGAAATCTGAAATCTTGTCCTAGAAAAGGCCAAAAACAAAGTAATTTTGGCAGAATATCGGTTAAAATGTTGTGAAATCCGACGAAATCTTTAGCCTTCAGAAATCAAGAACCTATAAAGCCCCAATCCGACTGACTCACTGACTCACTGACTCACTCACTCACTCATAGAAATGTTTGGGGTGAAGGAGTGGTCGTAGAGACTTGCGGTTTTTTCCATTCGATTCCAAATTTTATGGGAAAATTGGGAAAAACCCCGAAAGTTGAAAATTCCTCACCGTTTCCGAGAAAACCTACTTTATCTACAAAAAGGGGGAACAAATTTCTCACCGTTTCCGAGCAAACCTACTCAATCTTCAAAAAAGGGGACCGACCGACTAAAAATTTTTATTCGCCCTATCAGTAGGTCTGGTCGAGACATTTCCGAATCTGTGCCGCAATCCGGTCTCCGTCACTGGCAACATCCTCAAAAAACGATTAAATAGGCCTAAATTTAACAAAATCCACTCAATCTTCAAAAAAGGGGACCGACCGACTAAAAATTTTTATTCGCCCCATCGGTAGGTCTGGTCGAGACATTTCCGAAACTGTGCCGCAATCGGGTCCCCGTCACCGGCAACATCCTCAAAAACGATTAAATAGGCCTAAATTCAACAAAATCCACTCAATCTTCAAAAAAGGGGACCGACCGACTAAAATTTTTTATTCGCCCCATCGGTAGGTCTGGTCGAGACATTTCCGAAACTGTGCCGCAATCGGGTCCCCGTCACCGGCAACATCCTCAAAAACGATTAAATAGGCCTACATTCAACAAAATCCACTCAATCTTCAAAAAAGGGGACCGACCGACTAAAATTTTTATTCGCCCCATCGGTAGGTCTGGTCGAGACATTTCCGAAACTGTGCCGCAATCGGGTCCCCGTCACCGGCAACATCCTCAAAAACGATTAAATAGGCCTAAATTCAACAAAATCCACTCAATCTTCAAAAAAGGGGACCGACCGACTAAAATTTTTATTCGCCCCATCGGTAGGTCTGGTCGAGACATTTCCGAAACTGTGCCGCAATCGGGTCCCGTCACCGGCAACATCCTCAAAAAACGATTAAATAGGCCTAAATTCAACAAAATCCACTCAATCTTCAAAAAAGGGGACCGACCGACTAAAATTTTTATTCGCCCCATCGGTAGGTCTGGTCGAGACATTTCCGAAACTGTGCCGCAATCGGGTCCCCGTCACCGGCAACATCCTCAAAAACGATTAAATAGGCCTAAATTCAACAAAATCCACTCAATCTTCAAAAAAGGGGACCGACCGACTAAAATTTTTATTCGCCCCATCGGTAGGTCTGGTCGAGACATTTCCGAAACTGTGCCGCAATCGGGTCCCCGTCACCGGCAACATCCTCAAAAACGATTAAATAGGCCTACATTCAACAAAATCCACTCAATCTTCAAAAAAGGGGACCGACCGACTAAAATTTTTATTCGCCCCATCGGTAGGTCTGGTCGAGACATTTCCGAAACTGTGCCGCAATCGGGTCCCCGTCACCGGCAACATCCTCAAAAACGATTAAATAGGCCTAAATTCAACAAAATCCACTCAATCTTCAAAAAAGGGACCGACCGACTAAAATTTTTTATTCGCCCCATCGGTAGGTCTGGTCGAGACATTTCCGAAACTGTGCCGCAATCGGGTCCCCGTCACCGGCAACATCCTCAAAAACGATTAAATAGGCCTAAATTCAACAAAATCCACTCAATCTTCAAAAAAGGGGACCGACCGACTAAAATTTTTTATTCGCCCCATCGGTAGGTCTGGTCGAGACATTTCCGAAACTGTGCCGCAATCGGGTCCCCGTCACCGGCAACATCCTCAAAAACGATTAAATAGGCCTAAATTCAACAAAATCCACTCAATCTTCAAAAAAGGGGACCGACCGACTAAAATTTTTTATTCGCCCCATCGGTAGGTCTGGTCGAGACATTTCCGAAACTGTGCCGCCATCGGGTCCCCGTCACCGGCAACATCCTCAAAAACGATTAAATAGGCCTAAATTCAACAAAATCCACTCAATCTTCAAAAAAGGGGACCGACCGACTAAAAATTTTTATTCACCCCATCGGTAGGTCTGGTCCAGACATTTCCGAAACTGTGCCGCAATCGGGTTCCCGTCACCGGCAACATCCTCAAAAACGATTAAATAGGCCTAAATTTATCAAAGTCCACTCAATCTTCAAAAAAGGGGACCGACCGACTAAAAAATTTTATTCGCCCCATCGGTAGGTCTGGTCGAGCGGTTTCTGGAACTGTGCCGCAATCGGGTCCTGGTCACCGGCAACATCCTAAAAAACGATTAAATAGCCTAAATTTAACAAAGTCCACTCAATCTTCAAAAAAGGGGACCGACCGACTAATAATTTTTATTCGCCCTATCGGTAGGTCTGGTCGAGACATTTCCGAAACTGTGCCGCAATCGGGTTTTTGTCACCGGCAACATCCTCAAAAACAATTAAATAGGCCTAAATTTAACAAAGTCCACTCAATCTTCAAAAAAGGGGACCGACCGACTGAAAATTTTTATTAGCCCAATCGGTAAATCAAGTCGAGACATTTCAGAAACTGTGCCACAATCGGGTCCCCGTCACCGGCAACATACTCAAAATCAATCATCAATTGTCATCAAGAACCTATAAGCCCCAAAATCCGACTGACTGACTTCGTCACTCATCAATCATCAAGAACCCATATAGCCCCAATCCGACTGACTGACTCACTCACTCATAGAAATGTTGGGGGTCAAGGAGTGGTCGTAGAGACCTGCGGGTTTTTCTATTCGATTCCAAATTTAATGGAAAAATTGGGAAAAATCTCAAAAGTTGAAAATTTCTCACTGTTTCCGAGCAAAGCTACTCAATCTTCCAAAAAGGGGACCGAATGACTAAAAAATTTTATTCGCCCCATTGGTAGGTCTGGTCGAGAATTTCCGAAACTGTGCCGTAATCGGGACCCCGCCACCGACAATTGGGCAATCATCTTCAAGAATCTATATAGCCCCAATCCGACTGACTGACTCACTTACTCACTCAAAGAAATGTTTGGGGTCGAGGAGTGGTCGTAGAGACTTAAGGTTTTTTTCCTTTCACCTCTATCCTTGTCAAAGCAGTCTTCAATATTTTCCGGACCTTGTATGCACCCATTGACTGCCACAGTAGCCAATGCAATACAAGCTATGTATTTGGGCAGTAAAAGTAGCCTTATTATATGGTCAAAAGCGGTTAAATAGAGCTTTCAAAGAAGCAGGACATTTACTTCCGTAGAAAATTTGCCTTTGCTCACCACGGACTTACTGAAAATACTTCGGCACGCGCTCCACAGATGCGGGGGTCTGGGGGCGGAGCCCCCAGCGAGCAGCGCGAGTCTTGTGTCCCTAAACATCCAATGTGGTTGCCCCCTTGTAAAAGGGGCTACAGGAAAAGGGCACACAAGTGCAAGGGCCCAAAGTGGGCCCAAGAAAAAGGGCCCCAAAAGGGCTACAGGACAAGGGACCACAAAGGGCCCACAAAAGCAAGGGCCCAAAGCCGGCCTTCTAAGCAAGGGCTCAAAAAGGGCCCAAAAAGGGCGCAAAGCGAGCAGGGGCTCGAAAAGGGCCCTCAGAGCAAGGGATCAAAGAGGAACCAGCGCGGTGTTGTGCCTCGGATGACGGCCCGGGATGGTCGACTCGCTGCACTCCAGCTGACGAGGGCCCCTCGCGGGCCGCTGTGTCATCCGTTCACATGAACGGACAAAATTACATTAAAGATTATAGATTTCAATTTTTTTCCTAAGCTTTACCTGCTTTTTTCCTAATTTGAATGCGATTTTTTTTTGGAGGGGGGCGTCGCCCAATGTTTCGGAGCCCCTAGAGGAACGGGGGAAATGTGTGTCGGTTCGCTTGGAGCGCCTGATGGGTAGGCAACCCGCAGGGTCGCGGCGCGGCACGATGGGCTGCCTTTCTGGAAGGGGCGCTAGACACCCTGGAACTGGGTCCGGAGCCAGGGTTCGATCGGGAAGGGCGCCCAGGGTGCCCAGCCCAAACTGGGTGGGCTAAAATACCGTTTTACAGTGAAGTGGAGTGTTGCAGAGCTCCACGGAAATGATTCGTTCTCGAGAACGGCGCAAAACGTATTTTGTGGTTGACTGTTTCGATTAGAGGAGGGTCTAAGCTAAGTTCTAAGCCAACGGGAGCCAAATTTGGTTAAGGTACTTGGAAACTGTGCAAATTTTAAAACTTCGTAAAAGTTTGAAAGTAAAAAAAAAATTTCAAAACAAAAATGTTTTTTCACTAGTAGATTCGATTTTTCTTCCCCTTTCCAAATTTGGTCTCGGATTTGGTCTACGATGCATATTAGCGACGCTATCAACCTTCAAAGTTGCACTGGTGCAGCAATTTGAGAAAAAAGTTTTTTGCTATATCTCAGCCCCTGGGGCTACATTCGAAAAACTTTGTACCGGTCTTGAACTAGTACCATGGGGGTAACAAACCCTGAAAAGAAGAATCAATTCGGTGACCATGGTGGCAGAGGCCTTGTCGACTTTACGTGGAATGACCCAAAAGTGTAAAATTAGTCCAAAATACCCAAATTCGTGTTTTTTCTCCAAAAGTTAAACCAAAGTTGGCCATATCTCGGGCAATAAATTTTTGCGAGACCTAATATTTTGGCTTTAGACTCTCCTTTAGTGAGTTATTAAGCCTACAAAAAATCAGGCAAATCGGAGAGGGTCACCGGAAGAAGTGGTCCGTCTTAGTTGATTTTGCTCATAGGAATTTGCCAAGACATGGTCAAATTCCGAACATTTTTCACAGTTTGATGCCTACAGACGTGGCGCTTGAGGGTTCGCTTACCGCGATTGCACTGATCCTTTGACCGTCGCCTTCGGGCAGCAACCATCCCAGGCAAAGAACGAGCGCGGCGACGCGTCCAACCATCTTGACACACGTTGCCTTTCTGCGGTGTCCCGGTCGTTGCAGAGCAGCAAGCAAGCGCCTTGCGTGCACTCGCGTTGGCCTGTGACACGGATCACGTGCGAGAGGTCCACGAACGAGGTGTCATTTCGCGCTTAATTGCGCGACCTCCAGGCGCGTCTGGCCGTTCAGTCTGAGCCCTCACTGTCAAACCACTGTGCACGAACTAAAGCGTTCACTGAACACGGTAAAAGTGATGTCTCGGAATTTCCACACATATTTTCACATTTCAGGACATTATTTTGAAAATCCTTTTTTGAAATATGGTCTGGAAATGTAGTTTTTTTTTTTTCAGAAAATATCTGGAAAAAGTCAATTTCTACACAAATATCTGAAAATAAGGAGGCATTTGAGGTCAGAACAGTCACATGTCCGCAAGATACGATCCAACACAAACCACAGCGAACACCAACAACAACAATCCCAGTGAGAGCAACATCAACAAGTGAAGTGACGAGAAATTGTGGGTGGGACGAGCAATTTGGGGGGGGGGCTGGTAGGCCGGGGCCTCGCGGAGATCCCGCTACGCGTTCGGAGCCGCTCCTGTATTTTCTCGGTTTCGGTGGTATAAAATAAGTTCCGATTGCTGATTTTGATATCATCTGACGCGGGTGGTGACAGTGATTGCGTGTGGGTCATTCTACAGAAATGTTACAATTTGATGTCCCTGCCCCTTTGTGACGAAACGGTTCGTCCTAGGAAGACGCGGTTTGCGCGGTGAGATTGTGCTTTTTGTGCTTCAAAATGATCCACAATTGGGTATGAAAGTTTCTGAGGTTTTCAGATGGCTGTGGCCCCCGGAAGGTGCAAAATGTAAACCCCGTGGCTGTCCCGATGCGTAGTTTCTTTTCATTTCGTTGAGACGAATCCATTCCCGTCGTCAGTTTTCCATTTCCACATATTTGATTTTTCACCTTTTTATTTCAATAGTGCCAAAAATCATTGTATCTCATACCGATACGGAACTTTGGTATGTTAGAAGCTTAATTCCATCATTTCGAACGTGTGTTTAGGATGTGGGATGACATTTTTTTGTTAACTTTGACAAGACGAATGCATCCATTTCTGTAAGTTAGTGTTTCTTTGGCCAAGTTTAGAAATTCCCCTCACAAAGTCTGCCCTTTACTGCCATGGCCTTTCAACGCACTGTGCAAACTACGGAAATCTCTGGGTTTCAAACAACGGAAAAAGCCTGGATCTGAAATCACGGAAAATCCTGTGTCTGAAATCACGGAAAATCCTGTGTCTCAAATCACGGAAAGTTCTGGCCATAAACTAACGGAGAAAATGTCCCTTTTTTCCACAGTGGCAGAGGTCATCTAATTAGAACACTACAGAACCAAGGGGATATCACAAAATTATGGAGTACAAATCTGATGAATTTCAGTCAAATTTCGATTAATTTCAGTCGAGATTCGAAGAATTTTAGTCGAAATTAGATGAATTTCAGTCAAATTGTGATGAATTTCAGTGCATTTTATATATCTGATGAATTTTGGTGTACAAATTTGTCTGGAGTTCTTTCCCCTTGTACAGAACCCCCCATAAACAGAAAAGTAAAGTATTATAGTGTTTTGGAAAGCTACAAGAATGAGGATTTCGATCCACCAACTCATTCTGACATCAATGCATTTGTAGAATTTTCCAGTGGGGTAAGAATGGGACACCACTTAAGGGACGAATGGGACACTCCTGGGGTAAAAATGGGACACTTGGTTAATGGTAAATTGTGGCCTTTGGGGAGAAAGTTGTTCGAATTGACATCTCTGAACGGAAATACTGTAGATAGGCCTCGACAATACAAACAAAAAGTGTCGACACATGCTATGGGCTTGGACGGATATTTAAAAAGTTAATGGGCTTTGAAATTAACAAATAGTCGCAAAAGGTCAAATCGCACCCAAGTTCTGTTGAAGCGCAATGCCTTTTCATTTTACATCCGAACGTGTAGCATGTGATGACATTTATTGTTCCTCGTGTTGAGACGGATCGAAATTTATAAAGTGGTGTCTATTTGGAAAACTTTGAGGCCTGTTTTACCACTGCTAAGCCCTTGTCCCATTTTTACCCCAGCGTGTCCGATTCGTACCCCAAACTTACAAGTCCGAATATTTATTGGCTGAGCGATAGCGAAGCCCGTTACTCAGGTGGGGTTGAAAAGTTTTTCCTGTCTGCGTGTGTGCGTGCGTGCGTGTGTGTCCGCACTACTCCTCCTGAACGGCTCGGCCGATCTCCGTGAGATTTTGCACACTTTTTGGGTATGTCCTTGGCTCGGCACACGCGAAATTTCACTATCCTAGCTCAACTAGTTCAGTTTTTATAGCCAAAAAACACATAAAAAACGGCGAAAAATCGAGTTTTCCGTAGGCAGATCTCTTGTGTCTTAAAAAAAGGGGGGCCTGGGGGGCGGAGCCCGGAGCCCCCCAGCCCCAACAAGTTAAAAAGTTCCAAGGGTCAAGATCGTGTTATTTGAAGATGAAGCAAGTCTATCTAGAATGAAGGGGGGTCCAGCCCCCCAGAAAGACACAAGTTAGAAGTAACCGACGACAGACAAGCCATTGCCTGCCGAAGGCAGGCTAGCGCCGCAGGCCAAGGTAGGTACGCCAGGCGCGGATTGTAGGAACAGGCAGCGAGACATCGCGAAGCCTGTTACGACAAGACGCGGTCTGGCGTAATCCTACCTTGTTTTAACTGAGTACCGACTACAGTGAAAAACTGCAGTGCACAAGCTGCGGTCTTCAGTGCAGTCAAAGTGTGAAAAAACTCTGAAATTATTGGCTGAGCGATAGCGAAGCCTGTTACTCAGGTGGGGTTGAAAAATTTTTCCTGTCAGCGTGCGTGCGTGCGTGTGTGTGTGTCCGCGCTACTCCTCCTGAACGGCTCGGCCGATCTCGGTGAGATTTTGCACACTTTTTGGGTATGTCCTTGGCTCGTCACACGCGAAATTTCACTATCCTAGCTCAACTGGTTCGGTTTTTATAGCCGAAAAACACCTAAAAAACGGCGAAAAATCGAGTTTTCTGCAGGCAGATCACTTCTGTCTTGAAGAAAGGGGGGTGTGGGGGCGGAGCCCCCCAGCCTCGACAAGTTAAAAAGTCAGGCCAATGCAGCCCTAGGCACGAAATCAAATGCTGTTTTGACCTCCAATCACGCAAATCGGTATGCGGGTGCCTGGAAATGAAACCTAGCCTGCCGAAGGCAGGCAAGCGCCGCAGGCCAAGGTAGGTGTAACGCCAGGCGTGGATTGTCGAAACTGGCGCAGCATCGCGAAGCCTGTTACGACAAGACACGGTCTGGCGTACACCTACCTTGTAGTATATTTTACACAAGGTAGGTTTACGCCAGACCGCGTCTTGTCGTAACAGGCTTCGCGATGTCTCGCTGCCTGTTCCTCCAATCCGCGCCTGGCGTACCTACCTTGGCCTGCGGCGCTAGTCTGCCTTCGGCAGGCAATGGCTTGTCCATCGTCGGTTACTTCTTACTTGATGCATGCTGGGGGGCTCCGCCCCCCAGACTCCCCTTCATTCTAGATCCCTTGTGACTTATTAACTTCCCAGACCCCCCCTTGCTAAGGCAGAGGTGATCTGCCTGCAGAAAACTCGATTTTTCGCCGTTTTATAGGTGTTTTTCGGCTATAAAAACTGAACCAGTTGAGCTAGGATAGTGAATTTTCGCGTGTGCCGAGCCAAGGACATGCTCAAAAAGTGTGCAAAATCTCTCCGAGATCGGCCGAGCCGTTCAGGAGGAGTAGTGCGGACACACACGCACACACGCACGCACACAGACAGGAAAAACTTTTCAACCCGAATGGAGTAACAGGCTTCGCTATCGCTCAGCCAACTACTGCAAAGTTAAATGACTTTTTGATCTTATTTTAACGCCAAATGGTGTGGAACAGAGTACCCTATCCTTTAAAGCATTAGAAACACTCCAACTCGCCATTGCAGAGTTGTGGAAACCTTATTATTCAAACTGTCCCATTATTACCCCAACTGACCCTAGACGATGATAGTTTTTCCATCATAAAGAAGAAAACTGCCATCAATAAGTCAGACTTGAGTAAGGCTAGATGATCAGAGTAGTGATGATGAGTCTGAGTTAAGTTGATTAGCTTGCAACAGGCCTCTATTTCAAGTATTCGCTCTGATTTATATTGCTTTCATTTCAGAAGGCTAAGAAACAGAGCTGTCAGGACAATGTCCCCGGGACTTCTACCGTGACAGAATTTGAGACTAAGATTGATAAGCGTTTAGGAGAGGACGCAGTGAAGAATGATGAGAGTGATACTGCGGTGAGTGCACCAGCTTATTTGGGATTCCTATTTTTTTTCACTCTAATTGGCTGAGCGATAGCGAAGCCTGTTACTCCAGTGGGGTTGAAAAGTTTTTCCTGTCTGTGTGTGTGTCCGCACTACTCCTCCTGAACGGCTCGGCCGATCTCGGTGAGATTTAGCACACTTTTTGGGTATGTCCTTGGCTCGGCACACGCGAAATTTCACCATCCTAGCTCAACTGGTTCAGTTTTTATAGCCGAAAAACAACTAAAAAACGGCGAAAAATCGAGTTTTCGGCAGGTAGATCACCTCTGTCTTGAAGAAAGGGGGGTCTGGGGGCCGTAGCCCCCCAGCCTCGACAAGTTAAAAAGTGACAAGGGTCAAGATCGTGTTATCTGTAGATGAAGCAACTCTATCTAAGACAAGGTAGGTTTACGTCAGACCGCGTCTTGTCGTAACAGGCTTCGCGATGTCTCGCGGCCCGTTCCTCCAATCCGCGCCTGGCGTACCTACCTTGCCCTGCGGCGCTAGCCTGCCTTCGGCAGGCATTGGCTTGTCCGTCGGCGGTTACTTAATGCATGCTCCCAGACCCCCCTTCATTATAGATAGAGTTACTTCATCTACAGATAACACGATCTTGACCCTTGGAACTTTTTAACTTGTCGGGGCTGGGGGGCTCCGCCCCCAGACCCCCTT